TGCCAGGAAGGCGCTTATGCCATTGAGCTATCTTCCCTGCCCTCATTTATATTTCATATACATCTGTGTCACATAATTTGATGGTAATTTCATACAATATTTTTAGTAATTTTGAGTATATAAAGCTAGACAAGGTGATGTATGTCTTGTAATCCAGCACCCAGGAGGCTGAGGAGAGTCACTGTGAATTCTAGGTCAGCCTAAACTACATAGCAACATCCTTTCTCAAAAAAAAAAAAACAACAAACCAAAAAACAAAGTGGTGCCTCAAAAATGTTTACACTGGAGGGGCCAGTAAGACAGCTCAGTGGCCTAGAACACCTGCTTAAGCAAGCTTAGGCAAGCACAAGGATGCCCAGCGCAACATGCCGCTGAGCTGGACAGACACACAAAAAAAAGTTTACATGGGAGCTGGGAACGGGGCTCAGTGGTAGAGCTCTTGGCCTTCCACAAGACCCTGGGTTTGATCCCCAGCACCACACGTACGCGAGCACACACACACACAGTCTGCACTGAACTATCACAAGTGCTAAGGTTTAGATGTGGTTTGTCTTCTAAAGAGTCATGTGTTAGAAGCTTGCTCTTCAGGATAGCAGAGTGGAGTGGTAGACTCTTTAAGAGGAAGGTCATTAGGTCATGGGGATTCCACCCTCATGAATGGATTAATGCCCACCCCAGCAGTGTCAGTTAGGTGTGGTAAACTCAGCCCACATTCAGTCCCTTTCATCACAGCCAGCTCCCTTTCCATTTTCCCAATATTTTATGACACAGCCCAAGTGCCTATGCTAAAGTTAATGTCATGCCATGCCATTTGGACTATCTAGCCACCAGAAGAAATGAATTTCTTTAAAAAAAAAAAAAAAAAAAAAAATCTTACCCTGCCTCAGCTAATTCTGTTTATAGCAACACAAAATAAACTACAATAAGGGGGCAGGTGTGGGATTTTTTTTTTTTTTTTAATGTATTTCGTACAGGGTCTACAGGGTTTCACTACACAGATCAGACTCGTAGTGATCCTTCTGTTTTTCAGCCTCCCAAGTGCTGGGATTCTAGGCGCACGCCACCAGGCCCCGTCTCAATCACTATCTCACCATGCCCAGGGGCAGGGCCAGCAAGGCACACTGAGGATCAAACCCCAATCCCTGCACCTTTAGGCAGGTGCTTTAATCCAGGAAATTTTTTTTACTAATGGCATGATGTTAGTGCTCAGAAAATTTCAGATTTCTGAATATGTTGGCCCACACCTATAATCTCAGAATTTGGAAGGCTGAGGCAGGAGGCCAGCTTGGGCTACACAGTAAGCTCAAGACCACTCTGAACAACAAAGTGAGATCTTATTTCAAACAAAACAAACTGTTGCCAGGTATGATGGCACACGCCTATAATCCCAGCATTTGGGAGGCTTAGGCAGGATGATCACAATGACTTTAAGGCTAGTCTGGGATACACAGTTTAAAACCAGACTGAATTACAGAGACTCAAAAAGCAAAACAAGAGGGTTGGAGAGATAGCTCAGTGGTCCACCTGCGCAAAGACCTGGGTTCAATCCCTGGCACCACAAGGGCCATGGAAACTGGGTGTGGTGGCATATGCCTGTAATCCCAGCACTGAGGAAGCTGAGACAGGAGGATCACTGAGTCTGAGCTGTATAATGAGACCCTGAACTGAGTAAATAAAAGATTAAAAAAAATATTGTTTTAAAAACAAACCATAAAGCCAACTGTTTCCTGGCCTTATCTTATACACCCACACTCATGTTTCTAGGGGTACTGTATATTAATAAGTCTGTATTCATTCCTGATAAGTTCAACTTTTCATTTTTTTAATTTACAACAAGGTCTACAGGGGTCCTACTACACAGATTGGACTCATAGTGATCCTCCTGTTTTCAGCCTCCCAAAGACTGGGATTACAGGGGTGTGCCACCACAGCAAAGAGACTCAATACTCTATACACAACAGCTGCTTCACATTAGTGATACTTTTTTACTACATAAGTGATTCTTCCCTTTATGTGTCTGATGTGAGACAAATGTTTTATAAAGTCTTCAACAGGACTGGGTGTGGTGACACATGCCTATCTCAGCTCTCAGGAAGCAAGCCTGGGTTACCTAGTGAGTTCAAGGCCAGCCTGGAATATATAGTGAGACCTTGTCTTAAAATAGATTAACAAATGAAGTTTGAAGAATAAATCATAAGCTATCAGTTCATCTATATTTTATCATCTGTTGTGTTATACAAAGCAGTTATTCACACTCATCTGAATTAAGATCTCATTTCTTACCTGACTTGGGCCAATCTTTTCTTCAGCAGTTGTGGAATGTTGATGTGGATCTTTCTTTGCTCCCTCACCAGGGTCTCTGTTTACTTCTGCCTGTTCCCCTTGATCGCTGAAGACCTTTAGCTCCATGCTCTTGGTTTTTTCTTCCCTATCCAAGATCTCAGAAGCCATAGAAGCTCCTACAGTGAGGTCCACTAGTCCACACCACCCAGGCTCACCCCTATTATCCAAGGTCTCAGAGGCTTCTTCACAACAACTTTCTGCATGGGTCCTCTGTAGCTCCGAGGGTAATGCTCTACTCTGGCTTACAAGAGAGGTTGAGGCTCCAGGTTTTATATCTGGATTCAAACTTGGCTCAGGGTCAGCATGAAGCTCTTTGGAGACACTTACTGGGAGTTCAGAGTATAATTCCTGTACCACAGCAGACATGGAGGAATCATGTGGAACTGGCCGAGTCTCTACTCCAGATGACAGCATTAGGGTAGATGTAGATTATGGAGTCAAGTCTTTTACATCAAATGGTTCACCCTGACACAAATCAAAGGAAGGGATAGAAGTTTAAAACCTTAACAGGGCAGAATGAATCTGTAACTGTTCATTTCACCTTAAATAAGGAAAATAAATTCTACTTTAAATTCTAGTATTATCTGGCACCAAAAATTTCTCCCTTATCAGGCTGTAAACTGGGGATGATTGTACATGCCTATAATCGCAGCACTTGGGAGGCAGAGACATGAAGATGATGAGTTTGAAGATAATTCCTCGAGGGGGGAGGGGTTACTAGGAATCAAACTCAGGACCTTAGGCCTACCAGGCACTGTACCACTGAGCTAAGTAAATCCCTGGCCCTGCCTAAGCAACTTTTGGTACAGTGAGATGCTGTATCAAAAAATGAAAATAAAAAGCCAAACAAACAGAATTTGTGGAAAAATCCATAGCTGAACTTTTTAGACATATGTCTAATAACTTCAATTAGAAGAGATAGTAAATGTACATGAGAATAAGATATCATTAAGCACTCAAGTCTCTATCTTATGTAAATTAGAAAATGAAATGGTTTCCTACTTGTTTTTAGGGGATGGACTTTTGTTTTTTTCACTGATATATCCCTACTACCTAGAACATAGTAGCTTGACATAGTAGGCATTCGGTAAATATCTTGAAAGATCATACACTGAAAGACTGAACAATTTTATTTAATTGTGCTCTTTGAAGGAAGATAAGAGAAAAATGGATATTCATTTCTGTACTACTTTGCAAACACCTGAGCTATGTTTACCCACAACAGCACAAGACACTATTAAGGTAGCTCTTTAGAATTCTTCTTGACTTTAATGCAGCATCTTGAGATTTTCTACATGCTTTCACAGATATCACTTATTTGACTTATACAATAATCCACTGACCTAAATAGGGCTGGGGAGAAGGCTCAGTAGAATAAGTGCTTGCCTGGCAAGTACAAGGGCCTGAGTTCAATCCTCGGTTCTGCAAAAAAAAAAAAAAAAAAAAAGTGAGAGGACCTAAATAGAGCAGCTCTCCTCTTCATGTTTTAGATCTTAACCCAACACTTCAGGAGGTTAAAAGCAAGCCATTGGGCTTCTACTGTGTTGGTAACTTTCACATTTTGTGATAGCTACTGAAAACACAGATATCTGCTGAATATTTTTCTTTTCTTTTTTTGGTACTGGGGATCAAATGTAGAACCTTGCGCTTGCCAGGCAGGTGCCTATGCTGCTGAGCTTTATCCCTGGCCCACTGCTGAATATTTCTATCTAAGCAACTCATAATACTATATATTTGGGTTGGGGTTGATGACTGGAATCGAACTCAGGACCTCACACTTGCCAGGCAGGCACTATGCCACTGAGCTAAATTCCAAGCCCCCATAATACTATGCTATAAGAGTTCAAAACAGGTGATATAGCTTAGTGGCAAAAGCGCCTGCCAGGTAAGTACAAGGTCCTGAGTTCAACTCCTATACCAAAAAAAAAAAATTTTTTTTTTTCTTAAAACATACACACATTCAGGATCAGGGGTTCCTGGCCAGTAGTTTTTCCACTTCAGTCCATCAAATATGTGCAATATGTACAATGAAATCCACTTTGACCTCACCAAGAAAGAAACTGGTTCACCAATTTCATACTTTGATTCTTCACGTTTTCCCTAACCTCAAAAATAGAAGGTAAATTTATGGACCATTTTACAAAGGTAAAAGGATCTAAAGCCACATAACTCACATAAATACTGGAAATTACAGGCAATTAGATTTTAGTCTGGGGGTGCTGGGAAGATGGATCAGTAGAATAAGCGCTTGCCTGGGAAGTGCAAGGAACTGTGTTGGTTCTACCAAAAAAATAAATAAAATAAATACATAGATTGTTAGCCTAAGTTTAAGTACCAACAGGACTGACCAATTAAAATAAAACAATAGAGCTAAAAGCAATAGCACACAAGACCCTGCCTCAAAATTTAAAAATTGAAAGCAGCACTGTGTGGTGGTGCATGCCTACAATCCCAGCACTCAGGAAGCTGAGGCAGAAGAACTGCTGAATTCAAGGCCAGCCTATTCTACATAGTGAGACCCTGTCTCAAAATAAACAAGCAAACAAACAAACCAAAACAAAACAAGGAAAGGGTCCTGTGGATATGGCTCAGCACTCCTTAAATTCAATTTCCAGTACTGGGGGAAAAATTAATTCATTAGCAAGGAGAAATAAACTTGTATGCAGGAGGAATATAGTAAGACTCAAATATAAGTTTCTCAGGCTAGAGATATAGCTCAATATTATGCCCCACCACTCTCAGCTTGTTACTGTTTTTGTTATTTTGTGATGCATAAGTGCCTGCCTGGCAAGTGCAAAGTCCTGAGTTCAATCCTGGTACCGGGGGATATATATATATATATATATATATATATATATATATATATATATATATATATATATAGAGAGAGAGAGAGAGAGAGAGAGATTCTCCACATGAAAGTCTTTCATAAACTGTCTACAAGCATTTCAGATTTAAGGCTGTGTGAGTGTATATGCAGGAAGGAAAGACAGGGAGAGAGGGAGGAAGAGAACATGCGTGCATGTATGTGCATGCTGTATACACAGTGGTTAGTACAGATAAAATAGAACTACTATTGGAAGCCACAAATAAGTAGAAAGCTCTCAATTTTAATTTGGCTCAGCTTCCTTCTCCCAGCAATATGCACAAGCAAGTTTTTGGTTGCTGTACTACATAGACACAGGAAGAACAAGCACAGGAGAGAATACTGTAAAGATGATGTTTGCTGATGAAGACTGGCTACTTGGGTCTATGCCACTTTGTACCCAAGAGTTCTTCACTCCCTATCCACTTATTCTAAAAAGTTAAAATTTTTGTTGAGACAGGGTCTCACTATGTAGTCTAGGCTGGCCTTGGACTCACTATGTAGCCACAAACTTATAGTGATCCTCCTGCATCAGCTTCCTGAGCATGTGCCACCTACCATGCCAGGCCTCTGTGTGAGTGTGTGTGTGTGTGTGTGTGCGCGCGTGCGTGCTAGGGATCAAACTCAGGATCCAGGCAAATAGTCAACTACTGACCTATGTCCCAAGTTGTTCTTTTATTTATTTATTTATTTTTTCTTTTTAAAATTTATTTATTCATTTATATGTGTGTGTGTGTGTGTGTGTGTGTGTGTGTGGCCAGCTCAGCCCACCAGGGGGCGGGGCTGGCTAGCATGTGGTGCTGGGGGATTGAACTGCGGTCTCTGTGCTTTGCTGAGCTTGTTCTAAGTAGGTGCTTTAGACCACTGAGCCATCTCACCAGCCCCTTGTTCTTTTTTTTTAAATCTTGAGACAGGGTCTCAGAATTGCCCATACTAGCTCTGAATGAAGGATTGTCCTGCCTCAGCCTCCTGAGCAGCTAAGGTTATAGGCGTGTACCATACTGCCATCCCAAGTCATTTCCTCACATTTTCCTTCAGCTTCTGCTATAACTTAAAGCTGTCCCTTGAATGGTAAGAGTGCTTTCCTAGCATGTGCAAGGCCATGAGTTCCATCCCCAGCATCACAAAACAACAACAATAAAACATTAAAAGCTGGGCATGGTTGGGCATGCCTATAATCCCAGCTACTTGGAAGGCTCACAAAGAAGAACCACAAACTCCAGGCCAGCCTGGGCAATTTAGCAAGTCACTGTCTCTCCTGACCCCCAAAGAAAGTAAGGTTGCAGGTATAGCTCAGGCTTAGTACCCCTGGTTCAATTTCTTGTACCAAAACAAAAAACATGCAAAACCACCCCACAGTAAACAAAGGCACCCACATATACCAAAAAACCCCTGTCCTTTTAAGCATAGTTATCGTATGACCCAGCAATTCCACTAGTAGATATATACACAAAAACATACGTCCATATAGAATCCTACAGGCCAATATTCTTAAGTAGTACTGGTCACAATAGCCAAAAATTGGGAAACAATCCACCTGTTTACCAACTGATGAATAGACCAACTGTAGAAGGGCTGTACAACAGTATTATTTAGCCATTAAAAGGAATGAAGTATTAATGCAGGTTATAGCAAGAACAAACTCTAAAGATACCATGTTAAGTGAAAGAAGACATTCACAAAGAGCTACATAAAGATCCCATTTATGATGTGGGGAGATGGCTCAGTAGAATAAGCACTTCCCTGGCAAGCACAAGGGCCTAAATTCAATCCCTAATTCCACACACACACAAAAAGATCCCATTTACATAAACCATCAAGAATAAGTAAAAAGGGGCCAGGAGATAGCTCAGTAGAGTAAGTGCTTGCCTGGCAAGCACAGTGTCCTGAGTTCAGTCCCCAGTACTGGAAAAAAAAAACAAAGCAAATCTAGGGCCAGCAATTTAGCTCAGTGGCACAGTACCTGCATGGTCCTGGGTTCAATTCCCAGGAACAAGTCCTACAAAAGGCAAATCTATGGAGACAAAGTAGTTCAGTGGTTACATGGAGCTGGAAGTGTGGAAGAAATAGGGAGCGGCAGCCAACGGAGAGTTTCTTTCTGGTGTAACAGCATGATGAAATAAAAGTGATCATGGTGTTAGTTTAAGCTGTACAACTTGACTACACTAAACACTACTGACTTGTTTAACTTAAACTGATAATCATATGGTTTGTGACTTTTTTGCTATGGTGATAGGGATCACCTAGATCCCTAGGGCCTCATGTGTACCAGACAAGTGCTCTATCACTGAGCTACAAGCCCAGTCCATGTTAATTATGTTTTTTTTTTAATTTTATTTGTGTGTGTGTGTGGGGCCAGCTCAGCCCACCAGGGGGCGGGGCTGGCTGGCATGTGGTGCTGGGGGATTGAACC